TTCATTGTTCCGTGGCTGTCAGACTGAGAGGCGAATGCCACTAGGTGTCTCTCTCCCGAAGCCTGAGTCTGTACCATTACAGCTCCAAGTCCGAACGCGCTTGCATCGGCCAAGATGATGGTTGGATACACAGGATGGTATTTTGCCATGCAGCGTTCCAAGGTGAGCAGTTCTTCGACTTTGATGAATGCAGAGTTTTGCTCATGAGACCATGTCCAAGCAGTGTCCTTGCATAGGAGCACTTTGATGAGGAATGCGATGTCCGACACATGTGAAGAAAAAGTGACCTGGATGGTTGACTGTGACTAGGAGGCGTCTGACTCCAGCAAAGTCAGTTGGTGGAATGATGTCCTTGATGGCCTGAAGCTTGTAGGAGTCTGGGCCGATTCCTCTTGCAGGTTTTCGCCAAACTTCGGTTTGGCGAAAACGGCATTTTTTTTGTTCAAGGTGATGCCTGGTTGAGAAATCCGATCCAGGACCTGTTACAGATGGTGGTTGTGCTCTTCCAGAGTGCTCCCAAACACCAGGATGTCATCTATCATGCAGACAATGGGCCGGTTAAGTTCGCACTCCGGAGCGCAAGAGTTTGGCGCTTCTTTCACTAAACGGACAGGATTGTCACCGGAGACTGACACTCGAGTGCGCTCTTTGTGCACCGAGAATTTCTCAGAGCGCAAGTGACTTTTTCGCGCTCCGTCACGTCACGTAAACAAACAAGATGGCTGTGCTGCTGTTGAGACCGTCGAGACGAAAGGCGTAGCCGGACTGCTGCCCCCTTTAAGTTGATTAGTGCTTAAATTCAGCAGGTAAAAACAATTTTATTTGAAAGCAAAGACAGCAATTAGCATTCCAAAAAAGGTTTGTTCGTGCATCTCACCTAAAAAAGAAATTCATCTATCAAACGGTAGCATGCCGATAGCACAGCGACAGAAAAGTTGTCGATATGAGGAGACAATTTGGACCGCTCTGTCCTTTTCGTAATGCTTAGCCTAGCGAATAAAGATACTTCGATTTGAAAGCCGAAACATCAGTGAGCGTTGAGAAAAAAGTTTGTTCGTGCGTCTTGCCTGCAAATGAATTGATCTATCGAACGAGCGTGCCGATAGCTCGGCGACAGAAAAGTGATGAAAAGACAGTCAGACCGCTGCCCTGCTCAGAATGCTTAGCCCAGCCGCAGCGAATAAAGATACTTAAATTGGAAAGCCGAAACACCAGTTAGCGTTGCGGGAAAGGTTTGTTCATGCATACCGCCTAAAAACGAATTGACGTGCTATCGAACGACGGTGTGCCGGTATCGGCGTGGCTTCCGTCTCGCTGCGAGACAGAACCGACAGAACCAGGGAATCTCTGACATATTTGAGGGTTTTCTGCGTCAACGAGTGGGCTCAAGAATGTTTTCTTCAATTTAAATCGGAACAGTATGCATGGTCAACAAATAGATCGGCCAAGGTAACCTTGCACATATGTGCAAGAAGCGAGTCTTTAAACCGTTCAGGAATATTAAAACGTTCGTAAAAACTTCATAATGTCGCCGTCTCTTTTGCTTTAGATTCTGCCGTTCCACACGAACCTTATTATTTATCTTCGAAATATTTTCGGCTTCTGCCACCCGTATTCACGGTCGGAAGGAGCTTGTGTGGCCCGTCAATAGTTTCTGGCCGTGTTCCAAAACTTACTCGATCTAACTCTAGGGTAAAGGTGGTTATCAAAAACCTACCCAAGTCCAGCGTTTCTCCATTTTTGTTGTCACGGATCCATTCAAGTAGGTTCGGAACGCAGCCTCGGTGTGTCGCGCTCCTGCACGCTATGCGTCGTTTAGTTGCTGCGCTCGGAGTATGAAACTCGGAGCGTCGGAGTAGGAGTAAAGGAGTGCCAACTTAACGTGCCCAATGCCTTCGAGGCCTTACAGAATTCGCAACATCTGCTTCTGAAAGAATTCTGGTGCCGAGGTGATTCTGAAGGGCATATGGCAAAAACGGTATTGACCAAAAGGCGTGATGAAAGTTGTCAGTTCCTCAGACTCTGCCGAGAGCTTCACCTGGCAGAAGCTTGTCTTTGCATCCAGCTTCGAAAAAACGGTGGCATCTCCGAGAAGTCCGAGAGTCTGGTCGACGGTCGGCAGGTCATGGCATTCTCTGAGGGCAGCTTCGTTCAGCTTCGTCAAGTCGACGCACAGTCTGTAGTCACCAGAAGCTTTGGGGACCACGACCAGTCGTGAGCACCAAAGTGTCGGCTTGTCCACTCTGTGGATCCCCCCTTGCTGCTCAAGTTTCTGTAGCTGATCCTTTATGATATCTCGCAGAGGGATGAGGTGCTGGTGTTCGCAGGCTTTATGGCACAAAAGCAACGGACGCCATATTGTGCCAAACTGAAGACAATCAAGCTACTATGTTCGCAATGGTGCAAGACAGGAACTATAAAGACAGGTAAAACTAAATCTGGTATATGAAGCCAGTACTAGTAATAAAAGCCACAAGTCTTAAAGAAGACAAGAGGATGATTTCCCAGTAAGAAAGCTGGGTGAAATGAGATGTGGTATAGAAAAACGTTCTGGAAAATGATTATGGTGTTCTGTTTCGAGTTTGAACAGAGCCACAAAATATGAAGAATGGTAAGCAAGTCTCCAAACAATGACAAACTGGTGGATTGTCCCCGCACAGGAAATACTTGTGGGCGACAGAAGAGAGGCCGATTTGAAGCCGACAGATCAATACTTCATGCAATCTGTTCCTAAATGAAGAGCTCTCCCAGGATCCGAGAACCGGCTTGTTATGTGAAGCTTATTATTGCGCTCCACGTCCAATTAGCAGAGGGATGGAGATTTTGCCGTGGAACCCTGCACAAGAAAGGCACTGCATCTGGCATAAACAGGATCGTGTATTCCTGTGTGAGCATGCCAAGGCCTTGGAAAAGGTGCCGAGGTTGAGAGGAGAGCTCAGCCATGAACTTCATGACCCCAAGTGCCTGGATGGCAAGAAAAGCCACGAGAGGGACGGTCAGCGACTTGACGACATACAGTCGTTGCCGTGTAGTTTTGCCTCTCCACAGCAAGGCGACCATGAAGGAGCCCAGGATGTTGAGTGGCTGCTCTTCCAGTCCTGACAGGACGTTGTCGACTCGGTTCAGGGATGGTGGCAGGTTCAGGAAAGTCTACGAGACAGCTAAGACTTCTGTTCCTGAGTCCACCTTACAAGTTTCTGTGTAGCTGTCGACTGCGAAATAAAAATTATCTGGCTCTTTCCAGGCTGTGAACAGCTTGTAACTGTATTCACGGAATCCTGCTCAGCCATTGTTTCTTGGCGCGGCATACGTTGGCCAAGTGTTATTTTTTGTTGCAATTATCGTTGCGCATTGGAGATTCAGAGCGGGTGTGCGCAGCGCAACCGTAGTAGTCGTACTAACCTGCGTTGCTACATTTCCGGTTGGTCTGGGAGTCTTCAGAGGGTTGGCCACTTTGTGACTAAGGCCAGCGAGATTTGGAAGTATTGACACTTGCTGAGCTTGACCCTGTTTCACGTCCTGTGAGCTTAGTTTTCTGTCTTTCAGCATCTTCGGCCTGCCTGGCCTGATTACACGCTTCTTTGAGGCTCAACCTCAGATTCCGACAAAGCTGGTTGACCAGTCAAGCATCGTGCAGGCCAACTATGAAGCATTCCCGCACGAAGCGTTTTTGAATTTCTGCGGACTGGTAGTTGCACCGTTTAACCAGCTTGCAGAGTTCCGCGTAGTAAGTGTCGACGGTCTCACTGGGTTGCTGCACCCTTCTGTGGAACTGTGCCAACTCAAAAACCTTGTTGAGGGTGAATGAAGTGGTCCGTAAACTTGGCAACCACGGCGGCGTAGTCGTCCAACTTGTCACCCAAGCCAAACGTCGAAAGAAGTGGACGACCATCCGGGCCCATGCAATAGAGCAATGTGCGGGCTTGGGCTTGCACTGTAGATTCACTGAGACCTGAGGAGAAGGTGCTAGTCCTCGAAAAGGCTTAGCCATGCAGGCCATGAGCTGGAATTCTCAAAGTCGATGCGGTTGGGTTGGCGCAGAGAGATGCCTGCTCGTGACGGAGGCTTGTCGTTTTCGGCCATAGTGGCAAGACGGACAACGTGCTGATTACGGCGTACTGCTGACTATTGGCAAGTGGGAGCAGGTATGCTTAGCAGCCGGTGACGATGCAGGCAAGGCGAGCAAAGATGGCGGGTGGAGACATTGCGAGAGTTTAGCGTGCGGCAGCAGGCTACACGGTTGTGGCGGTTGAGCACCCGGACGAGAGACGCTTTTAGTGGATGGTAGGCCTAACTGCACAGAAGTCAGGCATGCAAACGGGATCGGCACCATATGGTAGACAACATGCCAATCCCACTTCTGACACCAAGTCGAGAGATGAGCAGTGACACTTGAGTACCCGAGTGCCGGCAACAGAAGAGACTGGTCTATTTCGCTACTGCCATATGTACCCATAAGCTGGCATAGAGTGGCTGAAGCACCATTGAATCACGGAGGGCCATGCTCTCCACAATTATGACTTGTATTCCCAGAACTTCCAGACTTGAACCGCTTACCTGCATCGCTCACATCAATTAATGATGACACACACTTTTGTACGTTTATTACCAATTTCATGTTCCCTGCTGTTTAAGTATTGTATATATTGTTCCTTTTGTATTATTACCATTGTTCCCAGTCCCCTCTGTGATGCCTTGTGGCCTTAAGATAAAACGAATAAATAAACTAAATAAATAAATAAAAAGTTACAGCACCTCAGCAAAGTGGAATCAAAGACAACACTTAATGACACTATCCTCTGACCTTTGGAAGACTATTTCCCATCCAGGTGTGGCAACCCCCAAATCCAAGTGTATCATACTGAGACTTCTTCAACATTCAATCCACCAGAGGGTATGTCAAGAGACAACTGCTATGTCCTAACCAAAAGGCATGCCCGTTGGCAGACGCTAAAGCATCTACTTACTTGCCTTTCAGCAGTCAGACTTCTTCAACTCACCTTGAGGTAGACAAAGTCGTTCGGCATAGGTGGAGTCTCAAGATCCACATAGTTTTCAACGAAAAGGGGGCACCGCTCCTCCGAGGCCTTGTTGATGTACTTTTCCCAGTCCGCGATGACCTTGGCCTGCTCTTTCCGCGCTTCTACCAACTCCAGGAAATTCTGCCAGGACCCAAAGAGCACCTCCAATTTTCGTGACAGGCACTTGTCCGTGAGGTCAAGCATCTCCAAGATCTGAAGAGGACATGGTTGCGATGTGGTGATGCCAAGTGGTCAAGTTGTAATTGTAACAGATCACTACTTCTCGTTTGTGATCCAGCCTCTTCAACAGTTTAAATCAAATTGGCAGGTTTTACATGCCAAACGAAAGCATGCTACAGCGAAGGACTGAGGGTTAATTTCGACAAATTAGACATTGTAAGGCACAACTGAAATCTTGGTTATACCATACTTTTTCCCCAATGAGCCTCAGTCAGATTGCAAAGCGCCTCGGCCAAAATTCAAACCCACCCCTTGGAGTTCTTTAGGCTGGTTTGAGCTAGTAATTCTGCATTTAGGGCCCAACTGCAAGAGTTAAATATACCATACACTTGAACGGTCAGGCTCCCGTTTTGCAACACGATCCAGAAACTTGATGGGCATGGCAGAAACGAAAAAGATGTTGCCTGTACTGTTCCTATTGAATTTTAACAGGCAATTCTGTGGTGCACGCCCTATCCAGCATGAAGAGAACTACAATTGCAATCAATGACGATTATGAATGTCTACCAAGCCTCGACAAGGCTATTGCACAAACAGGCAGCCAGTGAAACCACAACTGTCCCCCCAGCACTGAGCAAGTAAAGGCAGCCCACTGAATTAGTATAGGAACGGCAGATTGGAAAAGGTTCATCACCTAAACTGCTCTTGCTTTAACAACAGACCAGTAAATACACCTTCCGTAAAGGTCTTAAAAGAATGACTGGACTGTAGCGGTTCTGCAAGGCCCCGAAGTGTTTCGTGAAACTTGCTCGAAATGTCGGATATTATTTTTGAGGATATCGAGCTGAACTCTAGCCCCAAAACTAGACTAGAAAAGATGACTGGCGAGGTATTTTAAAACCAAAAGCAGAGGAGGGTTAAAATCAGAGAAGTAAATAAATACACGACACAAACTAAATGCACTTCAGGATTAAAAAATACAAAGCATGAAAAGAACATGTAAAATATGGCTGCACAACATTAACAATGCGTTCATCGCTCCCCAGTTTCTCCAGGTCTTTTTCCCTTCCCTTGAGTGTGCATAGAAAAAAATGCCCACCATCTTCACGAGAGGCGAGATAAAAGGCAGTGGTGGATATGTCGCTATATTCTCCACACCCGAGAAAAAATTGTGTTCTCGGTCTGCAGCCAATTCAATCAGACACAGCTCGAGTGTGTTGGCCACGGCGCAATGCTTCCTTTTTCCTTCTTATGCATTCAGAACCTGACCAAATTTAGTAGGATTAAAATAAAGTGACATTACATGAGTTCACAAACTGGTTACCAAAACAGGAAGAAAAACCCTTTGGGTTTTTTTTCCATTGTTTTATACTTTTTACCAAAAATCTTCTGGCCTAAAATTTTCTCTGTAAGGTTGTTATTAAATAGAGGAATTTGAAAAAAATCAAGATGTTACACCTTGCACCATCTTGGTGCAAGGTGCAACATCTTGAAAAATTGGGGATGGGCACTCCTCAGGACTGACAGCAAATATGCAGAAAAAACACAAGGTAGGGTGGGTCCATTCAGGACCGTTGCATGCAAATCAAGTTTCATTGCATTGCACCGGCAAGCTTGAAAAGTAGCCAACATAGGAACATCTTGGTTAGCCAGGTGTATCCAGAATATGGGTTGGGTTCTTGACATGCCCTATGTTTACTTTTTAAATGTTTCAAAAGTAGTGGGTGGATGCTTATTGTGACATGAGCGCATGCTCAGTATTTTACGGGGTAGCTAAAAAGAGTGTTGGAGTACGCCTTTAATTCTCAGATGTAAAGCAGAGGTTTCGTCAGGAATTTCATTGAGCTGTCTAGATGACAAATTTTAACCTGGAATGCGTTTTAGGGCTGGTTTTCAAATCAGGTACATCACGAAAGCTTGGTACAAAAACATGAAAGCACAGCCAAGTCCCCCCTCGACAATTTCAGGTGACTAATGAAACGCTTTGTCCCCTGCCAGTAATGGAACCCTAAACCTCTTGCTCCGTAGTTCGATGCTCTACACCTGCACTAACAGATTGGCTTGGCTAAGTGTCCTTACAGCTGCTATGTATTCGTGTTGCTGCAAAACATGGTGCCCTTATGTTGAAAGAGGTCACATGATCTCAGATCATGTGATACCCCATGTCAATGTTAACATGAACACATTGTAACATTTGAGCTTATAACAAAGTCGGTTAAAACGAAATAGCGGCTATAGCAAAGTGATCATGACTTCCCATTCACACCTTTTCAATGTATTTGTGTTTGTAAGACAGGACAGGGTACTTTGCAGACTCTAACCAATTTCTTCAATGTGCCCGACGTTTGTGTTTGTTTTTAACAAAGAAGATTGATTGGCTCTTGCGGATATAGGAAAGAAAAATTTTGTGATCATTAAAAAAGAATAAACTTCAAAAAGTTTACCAAGTTACAGACAACCGCACATTGCTGCTGCGACTGAACAGCCACCCAGAACGGGGCAGATGATAAAGCAAAGGCTGGCGGCAGTGGCCTCTGCATCGTAGTACGCCACTCATACCTTATCTGGGAAGCGGATTTTCCACATTGCACGCGGAGAATCCGTGGAAGCATGCCGAGAGGGGCATTCAAAGTGCTGGTGACAACTGGAGAGCTTAAATTGAAGTCGCCATTCAATAACGGATGCCTCCAGCGCCGACTGGTCATGAGTGCGCATGTGCGTGGAGAGGATGAAAGCAGGCAGAAAGCCGGGAACGTTCGCAGACAGTCAACGCGTTAGTAACCTCCTCGCAGCTCATAATGCAAATGCGGCCCTTAAAGGGGTAGGGAAACGAAATTTCAGCGCTCATTTTCTGGCTTTAATGTGTTGCATGTTGCACCCTAACCTCAAAAACACCAGTCTTCCGTTGAAAAGCACAAGAAAACTAATTTTAAAGCTAAATAAACGATCTTCAATGTGCACCTGGTGGATGCATGCGGAGCCTATTTAGGAGGTAGTCTAGCAACATTGTGGAAACTGCTACGTAGCCGTGACGTAGCAGTTTCCTTCGGAGCAGCGCCGCTCTTTGGTTTTTTAACATTTTCCTTCTTAGCTTTCCTCCTCAACTCACAAGTCGCGCATTGTACCAAACGGTTCAAGAAGACGGAAAGGAAGGACTCCCCTCTTTCTCGGACCCTCGTTCGTGCAACCGGACATAGCCATTCTCCCCCTAGAAAATTAGCCTGTCGCTCAGAACTCGAACAAAAGTTGCTTTCCCCACCTCGTTCAGCCCTAAGCTGACAGTGTTGTGGAAGCTACGTGCTCCTTGGGCCAGCCACAGGCTCGTCACCCCACGGGCACTTCGAGCGGCTCGGTTGTAACGCGCTGACGCTATTGATACCATCACAACACTGACAACACCACCAAGGGCAAAGCTCATAACCACGCCTGCCTTGCTACTCAACGAACGCGGGAAATCTTTTCTTTCTGTTTTTGTTTGCGCCGGATGTCCCATGACGCATCGCGCTCTCCGTTCGCTTCTCTTCCGAGCGTTTGCTCGAGTGCACCGTTTGGAACGAAAAATATGGCCAATCGTTCAAAATACAAACACGCGATTATCATTTATGGTTATTATACGTCATGCTTGACTCATTTCCAAACGAAATCTGAATATTTCAATTTTTGTTTCCGTACCCCTTTAAGGGGGAACACTGCATCTTGAGCTTTTTTTTTCTTATTTATAGTCCAACCCAAATGAAATTTATAGAGCATAATCATCTTCCCATTCTGATGATAAATATGTACTTTGTTTTAAAATAGCTTGGTTAGTTTTGATAAAATAAACTATTTTATTTGAACATTTTATGGACGAGATTCCAAAAACTTATGATGACGAAACTCAAAAAGTAATATATCTCTGTAAACTAGAACGTCTACAGAATCCAATAAGGTATAAATGAAGGCTCCATGATTATTTATAACATTTTTACGGCATTTCGAAATTTTCAGTGTATAAATTAATTTTTACAATCTATATTTGAGGTGCTAACAGAAAATACTGATGCCTAGGTTGATGCAATTAGACCCCTTATTGAATACCCCACTTATACACCTACCAAAGAAAGAAAGAGGAAGATTGGTTGTGTACAGGTCGAGATACGGTTTCCGCAAAATAGAAAACTACGCAAAAAGTTCATTTCGAGAAAACAGCAAAAAACGTTCACGGACACATTTTTACTGCACTTTCCAAAAATTCTTCATCTATCTACAAGGTAGAGGTTTAGTAGCCACCAGGAACATAGTCCGTGTGCATTTGGCCTGTGTGCCTCTTCTTCATGGCCCTCTGGATACCATCCTGGCTGGCTTGCTTGGTGTCCGATGCGACATTCCGGGTCCGTTTTTGCCGAGGCAGCCCATAAACGTGTGCGATTGTACAGTGCAGAGTGAATGAGTGAGTGATACTATGAGGTGCATCATTGAATGCATTGCGGGAGTGAACTATTCTCTTAGATTAAAGGTGCCGATTGAGGAAAAAATTGTTCGTTGCGTCAATAAAAATTTGTTTTTCACTAAAGATTGGTTTAGAACGTTGTATCTCGCCACAAATACTGTCCCTAGAAAAAGCAAAGAATGCAGGAGCATCAGTCGTCCCGGGAAGTGTGTTCTTCTTTGGCAGGGAAAGAGCGGAAAATGTTCTTTGGGCAAAGAAAACTACAACGTACAAGCCACAAGAAAGTAGAAGCCTGCAAGTGACTTCTTCGCCTACAAGTATATATTGAGGAGACTGAATTCGATCCTCTGGATTGGTGGAACTTGTGCCAGCACGAGTTTCCGCACCTCATTCTTGCAGCGCAGTTTGTGCATGCCGCCCCAGCATCAAGTGCATCATTGAAAAGAGACTTCTCACTAGTGAGTATTAATTTAAGAAAGGCGAACCAGGCTGAATCCGTCCGAGTGGACAATATTCTGTTTCTTCTATGCAACAACCTCGACAAGTAAAATTATGTGTGTGTGCGTTTTCTTTTTCTCGACAGTTTGTACTGAGTTGTTTCTAA